AAACTTCTCAGCATAACATGGCAAACCTCCGGTGGATATCAGAATAATCAAGAGAATAAAACAAACTCATAGTTTCTTTTCATCTGAAATGGGGACAAATTTATAGATGCAAAGATAAGAAGTGTAATGTTTCTTAAGTTGCATAACAAAAATACTTCCCAGTGTTTGCGAAAGGAAAGAGGTAAGGCTTATGGGAAGGAGCTGGTCATTTTGGCACAGCATGCCGAGTTTCCTGTACATTTTGACAGGATAAAGACGAAAGGGATCTGAGCCGCACTGATTACTTCTAAAAAAAAAAGTAATTAGCACAGATGTGTGCATTAAAACTAGCAAGGTGCTGAGTGAGTGATGGCGGTGTCAACTGACTGTAATGGCCTGACCTTGTAGAAGCTCATTCACCTCACCTCGTAAGACGGATACTGCGGTAGCCTGCCGGGTGATGGAACTCTGTGTCCCTCTAATATCAGAGAAAACCACATTCACCACTGTCCTCTTCAAGGGGAAACCCTGACACATTTACAGTGCTCGGATCAATGGTGGAACAGAAGGAATCTGTGGGCCTGTAAATAGTGATCGATATCTCAGTATCCCACCTAGAGGCACAGATCATAATTAATGCAGAACAATGGATTGTTCACAAGCGTTCATACAGTATGTGCGAGATAAGATGCTCAGACCGGGTCACTGGATAGGTATTTACAAGCATGAACACAAGAGCAACGGGGCCTCATAAACTCAGCCAGCTGTCCTGGGTCGGTCAGTAAGCTGCTGCCGTTAACAGGTCTTCAGTGAACCTGTTTCTTGATTCATTTCCATTACAACCTATACACCCACACCTATCGACTGGGAATATAAAACGATGCAACCCCATCGTGTATAGCAAACAAATGCATACCTTTCAGATATCCTGACGTACCCAGAATTGTGCAATGTTTGCACTTGCAGTCAGTTTTAATTAGATAATGTAGGCAGCTCTGCGGCGTGTGTATAATGCATAATGTATTTGTAGCTGGGGCATAATCCGACTTTGCAGTATCAAAACTTTATAAGACATATTCAATAGTCAGGGAATATTTTGATCCACTACCTGCTGATTCTCATTTTCTTTAACTGTTTACCTACAGTTTTTTTTTTCCATTACAGCCCATGGCACAAGAATCTCACTCACTCTTTACCAAATAACGTTAAACATTCAAATCTCTCTGCAGTCACTGCATTTGTATTTCACTCGCCCAGCTCTCTACTCTCAGCTGTTATCAGTAGCCCTGCAAGAAAAGCTCAGCATATTTCAGCAGAATCTGTCAAGTTCTGCACATCCTTCCCCCATCCCTTGAGCTTTTATTTACAAAATTCTTTGGCTAATATAATAATGCTTTCAGCTACCAATACTGCTCTCAGCAAGAATGCAACAAATTACCCTGTTTTTCTTTCACAACTGGGGTAGAGAAGTGTGCAGATTTGTGGTATCAATGTGAATTATACATCAATTATGATTGCTGCTTTTGCACAACATTGATTACTGAAAAGAGCCAGGGTTATTTTTATAGAGTATGATGGAAATATGTGCCATTCTTCTTACTTTTGGATTTCAAAGATCATAACAGTTCATCATCATGCAATTGTTCTGCCAGGACTATCTCATGCTAGGCTCAAGATGGTCTGGAAGAGCTCCTGGAATATATGAGATGTATTGATTTGGATCCTTATTGGATCAGTACCAGATGAATCAGCCCACCGTCTAGAGTCTAGACAAATAAGGTCTCTCACTCGGTGACAGAAAAAGATTGGTGTCCAGATTGAAACAACTAAGGGGGTCCTTTTTATTTACCTTTTATTTAATAACTTTGTCAAGGTGAGCTTAGCAAGTTAGGGCTTTGCTGGGGACACTTTGACTTTGCGTTTCCTTTTGATTTGAATGCTAAATGTGACTTTTTAAAAGTTATTATCTAGGCCTTAAGTAAAAGATTATATGGATGCAAATTCAGGTAAATGCATTCTACTGTCACAGGCTATTCATGTAGCTAAATTTACTATGCAAAAAATAGATAAGCAGCAGGTAGCAATTCTAAATGTAAATGTTGACCTTCACGTTTTGGTTGTTTGGCAGAATGCCATGGAAACGTTATGTATTCATTTATAATTAAATTAAAATTGTTGATAAAAAGACAACGTGTTCATATAAAATGATATATTATATGATGAAGATAAATAAATACAAATATATGAAATAGCTCGTATGGTGAATTCAGAATTATTTCATGTGATTTTGACATTGGTTACTGGTTTCACAAACAGGGCTTATATTAAGTCAGGATTAGGCATCTAAGTAGCTTTTAAAAATGTGCCTTAGAAAAAAAAACATTACTGGAGTGCATATTGAGACAAAACAATGGCACTGACATAGTTTACTATTGTTTCTGTTAAGACAGCTCAAACATGCATTTTAGTCTGGGACTACGCTTAAGTCTTGTCTGTGAAATCAGGCATAGAACTAATATGTGTCACCTTCCTAATTATAACGATCACACCCTCAGTGTTGGTGAATATTTAAACCCAAGGGAAGAGCAATCATTACGTGTAATGTTGATTTAGTGTCTGCACCAAATGGAGACATGGCAGGAGAGGCTGTTATAGAGGACAGGTTATTTTTAGAGCTACAGGGACACACAGGTCTTCCTTCTGGCAATGTCTATCACTTCCTAAATGTGGGTCATGTGGCCCACCAAACACAGATTTTGAAAATCCACCCAAGAGGCAAATATTTTCATTGCTCTGCTGACTGATTTCCTCACTCAGTAGTGCACTGAAGTTAGACAATGCAAGCAAAATAAGATTTTGAGGGGAAAAAAACAAACAAAATAACAAGAAACTCAACAAACTGTATAGACCTGGGAAGTGGTGAAATTGTTATCAGTGATTCAATCGACTGTTTGATACCTTGTTCAGCTCTCAAGTTGTGTCCCCCTCTTTTTCTTTTTCACTGTGAAAAATAACTGTGCACTTTTTTTTAAACTATCATTCCAGTACTTTTTGTGTTTATGTTTTTAGATTGTATTTATTTATTTATTTTTTGCTTTTACAGTGCTTGTAAAAATAATGAAAATGAAAGCTTTAGCTTAAGTTCTGCCAGGAAGACTCAATCGTTACGTCACTTATTACCTTCACATCTAACCAATCATGTTCTAATACTTGCAGTATATCGGTACTTACACATGTCTGAGTTCGCAGATGTTAATGCAAACAATTACCTCCATCCACCCTGCCACTACCAGGATGGTCCCTTCCCCTCAATCCTCCCCACCACCACCAAGATAGTCCCTTCCCATACCTCCCAGGGGGTCGGCTGCGCCCCTGGCTTCGTCTTCAGGCAGGATATGCAGATTCGGCTACCATCGGATTGCGAGCTATGGACGGGGCCTACGCCAAAGAACTTTATAAATATTTGCTTGCTGGGCTGTTAATAAATATATGCTTTTGTTACATCATTTTATCTCCAGAGTCTTTCTGGTAGAATTATTGTTATGACATCAGGCTGCAGTATATGTGAAGTGGAGTTCTAATGCTCTCAGTAAATAAGTATCTTATCTGAGATCATTTAGTCTATTTATGATTATTTTTAATATAGACCAGTTCTTATAACAGTTTGTCTGGTGCTCAGAAGTCTGTTTCATAAATTATAGAGAAATTAAATAAACCATAAACATGCTGTGATCTTTTATTTTATTTTATTTATTTTATTTTTTCAGTAGCCTACATTATAATAAGTAGTATCTTCAATTTGGAGACTGAACTCTTTTCAAAATGAATGATTACAGATTTTGTATTTATGATACAAAAACAGATTCTGATAATAACCCAATGAAGAATATTAAAATTATGTTACCTGTTGTATCTTTAGTAGACATTAAAGAAAACCTAATGACAAAAGTGTACGCCACTGAAGCAAAATGAAAAGCTGAATAAGACACACTGAAAAACAAATTGGATCTGAGAGAGCTTAATGAATGGCCTATAATAAAGGAGCTTTTATATGTTCTTCCCTCTCTCCTTTCTCTGCTCTTTTTAAATTTTGTTATTTTGATGGGAAATTAAAATAAATATTATGATTAGATAAAGTTCTAATCTGGGGGAGTTTAATTGTTTTTTTTTTCACTGAGTGATTCCAGACAGAATTATTGCAGAAAGTGCAAGTAATTTATTGTTCTTCCTAACTCAACCTCACAGCCCATTCCAGCCTTGTTAGAGCTTTATTCTTTCAGTCTACAGTCCATTCATAAGATGCGGACATTCAGTATCATGTAGATCATCTTGAATGTAGCAGGTCTGCTGATTGGAGAGTAATTTAGTGCTGTGATCCAATCAGTGGAACCCAATTATCATGTAGCCTATTTTAGTAGGCTCAGACCTGCAGTTGCACTATGACCAATTATCTATGAACAAATTACTGTATTGAGACATAAATGACATCATAGTTCTGTTTCAAAATGCTTTTTTTCCCACAATATTTGATCTACTTAAATCTGTTGTAATTTGCAAACATAACATATTTTTATAGGCATGAAATAAATTAAAGATTTTCATATAATTTAACAGAATGGTGACTCATCAATTGATAACATGTCTCCTACTCAAAGTATTTTTTCATGTCTCTCCAGTTCTTCACCTGCATTTTCTAGTCATATGTGTACTCTTGAACAAGGCAATTTAAAAAATAATAATACGCAACCAAAAAAGATTAATCAAGCATTTCAAGTTCTCATATATCATCTGTAGCCCTTTGCAGGGACACGTGCCGACCAGAAAATCCCAAAACTAAAACAGTCTGGCCCTGGCTTAATTCAAAACGGACCTGCTGGACTAAGCAAAGATGAAGCTAAACTAGAGAAAATTGTCTTTATTCAGACAGGATCTTTATCTTTCACATCAACTTACAGTAGATTGTCTGGAAAACCTGCATGTAGTTCCGATAGAAGGCCAACAAGACAAGGTCAAGGACCTACCTCAGAGACTGCTGTTGTTGGTGCGAGATGTATGTGCGAGAACAAAGCTCTCTGTACACTGCTGACTGCTGGAGGACAAGGAGCGACGGGGCGACCTCTGGAAGCGGTTCCGTCGGTTGAGGTAGCTGCCAGCCGTCCAAGTCCTCTGTCTCTTGCGAAGGTACTCCTTGTAGTTCTTGGTGAGCAGGGTGTAGAGGAACGGATTGATGCAACTGTTGCTGTAGGTCAGACATGTGGTCAGATAGTTAATGTTGCGCTTGGCCTTGGTGGAGAGATCCAGCGTGGGCTGGAACTGACCAAGAAGCTGCCAAATCCAGAAAGGTAGGAAGCAGGCCCAGAACAGGAGCACAATGGTGAAGATCAGATACAGGACCTTCTGGTTCGGGAGCTTCTTGGTCTGCTTGAAAGTCTCAGTCTGGGAGATCCAGTAGGTTCGTGCCAGGCGTATGTATAGGTACCCGATTATCACCCCTGGAGCCACAATGCTCGTGCCAAAGAGAAAGGAGATGTAGATTTTATATGAGAGAGGGCTCAGTGTGGGTTGACACATTGGCTTGGAGCTCTCCGTCATCAGCTGGACGCTAATGATCATGGGTAAGGTGAGAATCAGCGAAGCCGTCCACACCAGAAGGGCGATTGCTTTTCGGTAGCTCTTAGAGCGTTTGACTGTATCCAGAGGCTTGAGTACGGCGAAGTAACGTTCTGTGCTCATAACCGTCAGGGTGAAAATGCTGGCATGCATGGTAAGGAAGTCCATGCTGATGAGGATCCGACACCCGGCGTCTCCAAAGTACCATCCCTTCAGGAAATGTGTACACACTACAAATGGAATTGTGAGTAAGTAAAGCAGATCGGCTAGAGCCAGGTTGATGATGTAGATGTACATAGAGGCTGCCGAGCGCATGGAGTGGCACATGACCACGAGCGTATAGATATTTCCAGACACACCCACCAGACACATTAGGGACAGGATGGTGCCAATGGTGAAGGTGGCAGCCAGGTCTTCAGTAGAAGCTTCTACTGGACGCTCGGTGGCATTGGAAATCTTTTCCACCATCGCCACTATGGGCTCCATTGACACAGTGGTCATCTCTAAAGAGGAATTGATGGTCAAAAGTAGTTAAAAAGTTGCAACATAAATAAAATAACTAAAAACTACATTAAAATTATTTTAATCGGCTGTGTACCTTCAATTCCTAATAATAATTTATATATTTTAACCCATGCTGTATATTAGGTCAAACATTTTAATATGAATTTAATTCCAATTATAGGCTTGTTTCATAAGTTATAAATAAAATAATTATTTCAAATTAGTATAAAACAATTTTTTATCCTATAGTACAAGCTTAGATATATTTAATGTGCCTTACATTCCTTTTAAAGGCTTGTTTTGTAAGTTAATAAAATAATTATTCAAAAAAATATATAAAATCATATTTTAACCTTTAGTGTGCCTTAAATTCTTTAAAAAAACAACAACAACACACCACTCCTATCAATGAAACATTAAGTTGAGAGGTGGGTTAACTTTCCCACTTCTTAATATAATTGCTTTAAAGTCTGCTGATTTTAATTAACTATTTATATCAAATGATTAATACCTAAGGATCAAATTAAATATTTAATATATGAAACAAGTCATTGCACCCTACAATTAATGAAATATGCTCATCTACCATAACAGTTAGGGCATTTCGGACAAATGATCTCCAGAGTCAAATGTAGTGAAGAAAAAAGAATGCTTTACCTTGATTGAATTCCACAGATGGTGTAGCTCCAGGCAGACAGACGTTTAGCATTTACAATGAGTCCAACTCATGATTTCTCTGACGAGTTTACTCAGGGATTCCTACCACGTTGTCAGCAAGAAATCCTTGAATGGCAAAATAAAACAATTCCAGTGGACCAAAAAGAAATTACTTAAGCTCTGTCATGTGTGTTAGGACACACAGATCACGTCAATAAAAAAGCACAAATGAGATTGGCAGGTGCTTCAGCCATGTAAGAAAAACTTCTGTTATTCTTCAGCAGAACACTCACTATATCACAAACCTGAGTGACAGATAAAAAAAGATCCTACAGATTCAGAACAACCAAAGAAAGTGGTACTAGGGGGGAAAAAGGGCAGAATCCTCTTAGATGGATATGCCCAAGGAAGCGATCACTTTGAGCTAGATTTCGAAACCCTCTCCTCCACTGACAGAGTGCATGCCTACAAGGGGTAGAGAGAGAGAGAGAGTGCTACGCACACACTAGCATAGAGTGGGAGGGGAGATGAGTGAGAGAGGAAAGGAGAGGGAGAGAGAGCGAGCGAGCGAGAAAGATTGGTTGGGGGGAAAGCATTGTGAGGAGGTATTCTGGAAATGTATGTGTGCGTGTTATTTGTGAATGACTAATGAGCTACTACCTGCACTCATTCATTCATCTAGCAGATATAGGAGATTGGCACACATGGGGATTCGTATTACACGTTTGTGTTTCTGTGTCTCCATAAATAATAATGAAGCACAGAACATAATGTACCATAAAAAGCTGCCCTCACAAAACAAAATCAGCAGGCATTTGAAGCAAACAGGTTTAAGGTGAATGTTTTTTGACTGAGGCAATTTACCCTTCACTTCTGTCAAAGTTCCTGTTAGAGATGCAATCAAAATTTTATACGCTTTGATGTTCCAAGGTAAACATTTTGCAGAGTTGATTTCACATAATAAGCACCGACCGAGTCATGACTGGCAGGAAGTGGGTGTAGTGCTAAAATCCTTTACTTTAAAGATGGCGTTTTTTATCCCAAAGTTCATCCCTCTAAAAATGGCTTAAAAGACTATTCTCAGCAGGTACTTAATAAATACCTGGGAGTTTTGGGCACTTTTATGAAAGAAAGCCAGCCTTGTTCGGTTTTTCACAAAGATATGTAAAGAGAAGAATCCACATTAAGAGCTTGTTTACGACTCTACTGAAGGATGTCGAGATGGCATAAATTTAGAATGAACTTTATACAGAATACTCCCCCACATTTTTACTGGATCTTCTTAGTTATGAAGCAAACAAGTTTTCTCCCTTTTTTTCAATATTGAAGGGTTTTTTCTATAACAAACCTTTCTCGGGGGAGGGGGAGCAAAAACAATTATTAACATTTCGCAATAAGGTTTAGTTTATTAACAGTTAATGCATTATGAATAATGAAATATCAGTATATTCTACAGCATTTAAAAATATACTATTGTTCATTGTTAATTCATGTTTGTTCAAAATACATTCATTATAATATTATATCCATCAGTTGTTGATCAGATGGTGTTAGACCCTTCCAAGTCTGTTGCTCCAGCAAAAGATTGAGTTCCCTTTCGAAGGGAACTCAACAATACGTCATTCGACGCTATGGGGAAACGCCTCAGGCGTGACAGGTGTCTGAAATCACTATCAAATCACGTCAATCACATTGACCGGCGACAGCCCGTGAATCATTAGCGTGAATGATTAACGTGCGACCTGGAAGTATATAAGGGCGCCTTGCAAACATGACAAATCATCTCATCGTCTTCAGGGACTGTTTTGTCTGTAACTGCTTTGAAAATCAGGTAATTATGAAATGCTTTCAGAAGTGTGCAGACCCGTGCCCAAGATATTTGTAGCCGGGTGACACACGTGAACTGTGCATTTTTTGTCTGGGAAGGAAGACGCGCACAGGCGGTTCTCGAGGGAACTGCCTGTACAAATTGTGATCGCGCCTGTTCAGCATCTGGATGTCACAGCTGAAGCTTGCCGATCGCCTTGAGAGGGGTGTAATCCTCTCAGACGATGCGGCGGCTGATGAGAAGCTGCAATTGGATGAAGTTTTAAAAAAAAAGGGAAAACTTAGTCCGGCAGCAAGCGCTCTCCCGGACAAACAGGAGATGGCTGATGAGGGTGGAAATAATAAAATATTTTCCTGTATCTTCTCAGCCACCCTGCCCCGTGTATGCTGAGCTGGTTGGTATTATAGAACGCGCCGCGGGCAGGCTGCAAAACAGCTGCCGTGGCTGCTCGTTGGGGGAGAAATCGCTCGCGATGAGAGCGGTTTTTCCCCGGTCATAGAACCACCAGCTCAGGTGAGCCTTTCATTTCTTCCCGATCTCATACTGAGATCGAGAGGACATGGAAGAACCCATACTCTGCCTGTATCCACCAACATCAGCGGGCTAGTTCGCTGATGTTGAGAGGATAGGAGAGCGTGGGTATGCGTGGATGGGAAGAGGGATCTGAGGGAGGTGATCCGGCACAAACGCACGTTGCGTTGGTCTTGGATCATCTTCCCTGAGGGCGTGATTATATCTTTGCCTTTTCCTCTCTTCCCCGACTCCCCAGGCGCTTCTTACATCAGGCCTGAGGCTGGGCTCATGGTTAGAACAATGTTCTGATGGCCCGCCTCGGCTTGGTTAGTGAGAGTGCCTCTTTCAGGTATGTAAAGGTGGTAGACCCCATGTTCATGAAGAACTGTCTGGTGAGTCTTCACTTTGCACGCCGCAGGTGAGCTGCTGGTCTTTCAAAGAGTATTTTTTGTGATTAAAAAATAATATATGTCCCTCTTTACAGACCTCGTTCCCTGTATAGAGTTATGGGACCATGTCAAGGTAATAAGGTAAGAGAACTTTTTTGGATTATCAGGGCCCTGAAGTTCCCCGTTAGGTGGCCAGAATGATAACTATGTTAGCCTTCGGGCTATTAGCCACCTCAGGGTAGAGTAGTTGGTCTCTCTCTGATAGAATGTTTTCTTAGAGTGTTGACTGACGCTAGAGCTTCAGATAGATCTTATGTCCGGCCCATGGGACCGTTTGACTTTTCTGAGTATTTCGCCCCTTGAGCTCTGTTGAGTTTTCATTAGGTTGAGCGTTCTGCAGCCCTTTGTATGGAATAATACAGACTATATTCTTTAGTAGGCTGTGGCTCCTCTGAGCCCTCAGATAGATCTATGCTTACAGGTTGGCCCTCACCAGGGCCGCCTCTGTAGCTGGCCTAGGCTGTGCCAGGGATATTAGAGGCGTTCTGCTAAAATTAGCATTTCTTCCTCTGACCCTTCACTTTGTGAATGTAGGTTTTGGCATCCCTGTATAATCAGCCTCCTCCCATGGGAGTCGTTAGGCCAAGGCCCACCCCCTTCTCTGCATTCTGGGGTGACTAGAGTAATGCAGCGTGGTGCAGAGGATGGTTTATAAGGACATGGTAGGCCTCAGTTAGGCCTCCGTGGTATATAAGTCCTTTTGAGCAGGGTTAGGCCGTCTTTCGCTTCACGAAGAAGACTGAGTCTCCTGCCCGACCCTGCCGTGCAGAACTGGCCTACGGATTTAGGCCGCCAGTGTAGGCTTCACTAATACCTTGCTGAGCTACTGCTCAGGCTGTGGGTTGTAGGTGGTTGGCTTTCATTCAAGCCCCACTCCCCTAGGTTGGGCACAGATGTTTTTCTGTTACCCCTAGAGCCGCTGGCAGGCCCGCACCCTGGTAAACTCAGGGTGAGGTGTGAGTATTCCCCTGTGATTCAGGGTAGGTCTGAGCACTTCACTCCCAGTTCTGTTTTTATCCTACCTCGCACTACTATGGCTCGGGTCGAGTATGAAGTAAGCCTTCACTTCTTCTTTGGTCGAAGTTCGCTCCCCTGAAGCCAGAGCATTGCCCTGTGCTGACGCCCATGCATAGATGGTAGGCCCCTGACTAACTGGGGCCTCCACTGAGGCAGAGTGGCGTATGTTGTACTCCCCTTGTTCTAAGGGTATTAGCTCTCTATGCTGAGTACACTGCCATGGGCAATGTGATTAGGCACCAGGATGCTGTAGGCGCTGTGTAAACAGCTTATCTGCCAACGAGGGCTGCGCCATCAGGTAGTAGGTCTCAGCAGGCCTCCTTGTATGAGCAGCCCCCAAGAGGGCGCTATAGGCTACTTCTCGAGAGAATTGGTTGGCCTTGGTGGTTCGGGCAGTTGACTCACCGGTGGGTAGTAGGCCTTAAACAGGCCTCCTCGGAGGTGAGTCCCAACATTGTGGGACATGCTTTAATGCCGCTACAGGTAGCTAGCTGTACTAGGCCTCCTGTGGGTGGGCCCAGTAGTTACATTGGTGTAGTATGGTTCCCAACAGTGTTCCGTTGTTGCAGATTTGACTTGCTATCAGTTAGTAGGCCCAACCGGGCCTCCCTGATAGGCGAGTCCCCAGCTGGCTGGCCTTAGCAGGCCGCCTTGGAACTGTCACTCGGACTCAGCTACCAGTTGCTATCAGGTAGTAGGCCCCTCAGGCCTCCCTGAAGGTGAATTCCCACTTAAGATGGTTATCAGGTAGTAGGCCTCACCCGGCCTCCCTGAAGACGAGTTCCCACATGCTGTGATTATCAGGTAGTAGGCCTCACCAGGCCTCCCTGAGGGTGAGTTCCCCACGTACTATCTTTATCGGGTAGTAGGCCTCTCTAGGCCTCCCTGAAGGTGAGCTCCCCACATACTGTGGTTGTAAGGTAGCAGGCCTCACCAGGCCTCCCTGAAGGTGAGCTCCCCACATACTGTGGTTGTAAGGTAGCAGGCCTCACCGGGCCTCCCTGAAGGTGAGCTCCCCACATACTGTGGTTGTAGGGTAGCAGGCCTCACCGGGCCTCCCTGAAGGTGAGTTCCCACATACTGTGGTTATCAGGTAGTAGGCCTCTCTAGGCCTCCCTGTGGGTGACCACATACTGTTGCTATCAGGTAGTAGGCCTTACCAGGCCTCCCTGAAGGTGAGTTCCCACAGACTGTAGCAATCAGGTAGTAGGCCTCACCAGGCCTCCCTGAAGGTGAGCTCCCCACATACTGTGGTTGTAAGGTAGCAGGCCTCACCAGGCCTCCCTGAAGGTGAGCTCCCCACATACTGTGGTTGTAAGGTAGCAGGCCTCACCAGGCCTCCCTGAAGGTTAGCTCCCCACATACTGTGGTTATCAGGTAGTAGGCCACTCTGGGCCTCCCTGAAGGTGGAGCACCCCACATACTGGGGTTATCAGGTAGTAGGCCTCTCCGGGCCTCCCTGTAATGTTTCTCTAATGGTGCTGGGTTTATGAAGCTAGTGGCCTCTTGCTATCAGTTTCAGCTAGCCTTAATAGGCAGCTGCTGAGGGCGAGCTTGCGCCCTGGCTCGCTAAAGTGTTTATTCTCTGCTATTTGTTCCCTCCTGGAACCTTTCCTGCCTACAGCCTGGTTTGCCTACCAGGCAGACCTTGTG